TCTGTATGCTGTGAATACCATTGGTTAATAAAGAATCTGCTTTGGGCCTACTGCAGCAGAGTAGGGCAAGGCAGGAGTTCCAAGCACATAGAGGGACTGTGCCCAGTACCACGGCTGTAACAGCCATCAATAGCAGCCTTGGCCATTTTTATCAACCTGAGTTTAAAAACTCTACTAACAATTAAAAGTCAATGAAATTCATCATTCTTTACTCATAGTCAGAAGAGAAATGTACTACATGGTTTGAAAACTGAGTCTTTAAGAGCTATAAAATTATGAAAACAAAACAAAAAAAGAACTGGTATTTTACCTATTGTATACTTGGATAAATGGAGTTAGGTAAAGCTGCTTGCTTAGGTCTTATAGCTGAAATATGTTAGGACTGCATTTTTAAGTCTACAGGCTTCTAATCATAACCTTCAGGCATTTCATAAAATCATAGTACTTGATAAGCATGGAGGATCCTAAATAAGCAAGAACTCCTCCATCAGGTGGCCACAGATCACTGCTTCTCTGCTTCCCTCAGATTGGCATGTGCATCCCATAAAAGCAAGAATATTTACATCTCTGTATGCTTCTGGGAGGGGTCAGATGCACAACCAGTTTGCCTTTGTAAATTAAGCTATAAAGAGGCAGCTTACTAATTATAGGACATTTGTTTATTTCTTCCCAACAGGAGCCCCAGATCGGAGGGGAAGGAATGGTGGGAGCTGGCCTGTCCCTGGAACAACTGAGACAGCTGCAGCGATTTGATCCATCAGTTGTGCCACTGCAGAGTGTGGACCCTGATTGTCTCCAAGATGCCAAGAGAGAAGACATGATCTGGCTGGCCAACAGGGACTGTATAGGCTTCTTTATTGCAAAGTTTCTAAAATGTAAAAGCACAGAGAAGGTTTCTTGGAACTGAAAATTCAGAATATTTTCTCTGTGTGTTGGCTTTTCTTACACCTAAGTGTTTTCAGGCCAGTGGAGTGATGGCGTGTTTGTTTAGGACACAGGAAGGTGGTAACGGAAGGAGCAGTGTGTTTAAGTAGCTCTGCAGATGTTGGGGAGGCTGGGAAAACATAATCTGCCTTTTATGATACAAAAGGCAAGGAGGAATTCCCACAGAGTCTGGAGAATAATGTCAGTTTTAACTCATATTGTTTTTTCTAATGTGAAAAAAATAGTCCAAAACCAAAAGAATAAAACTCTGAACTTTTCATGTGGTTATGAAAAAATGTGTTTTGTGTTCCAAATCTGGCAGTAGTTATTGCATTAAGCATTCAGACCATGGGCAGTAGTCACACTGCGTGCATCATGACTGAGGTAAGTAGGCTTGTTACCTGAGCTCTGCCCCTCCCCTTCGGCTTGCTAATTCTAAGTCAGACTCTTTTACTTTAAAGATTTATTCCCTTATTTATTGTGTATGATCTGTGTGTGGAAGTTCTGCTCATGCCATGGCACACACGTGGAAGTCAGAGGACAACTTTGGGAGTGAGTTGCCCCCGCTTGAATTCATGTTGTCAGGTTTGTATGGCAAGTGCTTTTACCTGCTAAGCCAGTTCATCAGCCTCTGCTCTCCTAAATGAAATTTGGAATTGTGCTAGATAATAATCTAAAAGATAAAATAAAGGTTTTTACTTTGTAGACTAAAACACAAAAGTAATCCATATTTTGGCTGTAGTTTATCATTTTCTGGAACAGAAATCATGCAAATAACAGAAACATGCTTGGTAGGGAGCAGAAAACAGTGGCTGACAGCTAAGACCTGGCCTGGCACTTTCTGCTGGGCTTTGGCTTCTCTTGAAGAATGTAAGCAGCTTCATAGAAGACAAGCTTTAGGCAACTGTGTCTGATAGACAAGACCAAATAAAAGCTCTTCTTAATTAAATCTTAACTGACCTCAGACAAAAAACAAGAAGCTAAGGCAGTGTGCAGAAGTGACCAGGCATCCTGCCACTGTGGCAGGATAGTATATCCGGTCTGCCTGGACCACACCAGCAGCCTGAGTATATGCTTTTCAAAAACTTCGTCATGTCTTCAGACTGGCTTCATTCTACCTGCTGCGTAGATAAACTGTTAAGATGTCCAGTACCCAGAACACTTGAAAGGTCTCACGTGGAACATACCAGACTGGTTTGTTATCTTTCATTTACATCCTTCCAAATTACTGGACTTTGTTGTGTCAGATGGACAATTGAAACCAATTGCTGCTACTTTCTTTCCCTCGTAGGTTTCCTGTAGGAAGGTCTCTCAGCAACTTACCATATCCATGAAGATCGCAGCAGCTCTTGGATCAGTAAAGCTTTTGGTGGCTTCTTCCTGTAGAACATCTCTTTGAACAGCTCTGAGCTCCACATCCAAGTGCCTGTGTCCACGGCTCACAGCACGTTATGATGCCATTTTACTGTGGTTAACCCGAGCTCACTCATACACTTGGGAAATATACCAGGGTATGTAAACTAGTTCTTTTCTTTTATAGTCACTGCTTCAGAGTGGATAGTCAATAGGTGTTTATTGAATATGAAAATTTATATTGAATTTCCTAAGATTCAAGTATATAAGCAAACCTTTTCCATCTTTCATTTTGCCTGTGTCCAGTAGGTGCTATTTTGACTGAAGAGAAACACCATCTCCTTGTGGTACTTCTGTTTCTGGGACTCAGTGTAACCCCTCTGGTTTTAAAAGACTCTATTTTAAGCAATGCCATAATCATTGCTTTTTTTCCCCTGCTCTCTGTACATCCTTATGTGCTAAGCTGGGGTGAGACTGAGAGAGAAATAGCCTAGCAGCAAATTTGCATGGTGTCAACTTTTAACCGTTCTAGTAAACCCAGAATACATGCAGAGCTAACAAAAGACAACTCTGCTTGTGTTTAAAACATCAAGGACACAGAATACTGTTAACAGCTTTCCTATTAACATTCCCTCAAATTTGAAAACAAACTGCACATTCTTCAAGGACACAAAAATGTTAGAAAAAGGTGCAATAAATGAAAACAATTAGGGACACGTGGAAGGATAGTAACATTCCTTTTAAACATAGTTTTAATATAGATTATTTCTATGAAAACAGAAAAATATTTAATTCAGTGGTAAGTACATGTTAATGAAAATCCTATGTTAGATTTTAATTTCTATAGCAAAGTGAAGTAAAGCAGTTAGTAAGACCGAGTGCCAGCAGTACGACATTGGCTGGAATAAGACCAGAGCATCAAGGAGGAGTGGCAGCCCCTCACTGAGCAGATGGGGAAGCTGTGGGTCCTCTTAAACATGAGATAAATTTCTAAGTAGGAATCTAAATTATTCTACAGGTTTGAATAAGGTAGGAAGAGGATGCCTCTCTGGTTTACACTGTAAAATTTTTCTACCTACCTTGTTTTTTTTTTTTTATTTTTTATTGTTTTCTTAAATTAGACATGGAGAGAAGATTACCAAAAGAACACCAGGATATTGGCATTGGCTGGATAAAGATATTCCACATGGTAAGTGTGGGATCTGACTTATTCATTCCTAAGATGGCAATGAACACCGCTGGTAAACAGTGTAGATGCCAGCTCTTTGTTTCCACGAACGACTTGACACCAAGTTCGTTAAACAGTTCACGGTCGTGACAATGAGTGTTTGTTTAACAGGAATGCAGAGCAGACCAGGCTAGAATGTGGCACTGCCTCGAAGTACAGTGTGACTATAAGACATCCTACGCTTAGCAGCACCTTTTTTGGAATCAGTAAGTTCAGAGCAGTAGAGAAAGAGCATAGGAAAAGCTGAATGAACGACACGGGAGAATAACACTGTTGACTCCATTTCCATCACCTCCTGGCTTGACTACAGAAAAAAGAAGTCAGAATTCTACAACTGAGTACTTTAAGATTGAGCCTTTGATTGTGATTGCTCATTACATTCCCCAAGTCAGTAAATACCCCCAGCTTCCTTGGAATTGTTTTCTTTTTTCTAGATGTGCCCTACACTGCTGACATAGACCCACTGTGCAGTTTTCTACAGACGTGCGCTATGTCAGCTCCTTCAGCAGAAGAGAGGAATGCTTTGATGTGCACAAAAATTCATGGTAAAGTGAGGACCTACAAATTGGGTGCAGAATTGACCAGGTGGATACTTTTAGAACTCTTCTTTGAAAGGGATGAGTGATGACTGACAGCATGCGAGAGAAACGCCATCCTTCCTGAGTCTGAGTGCCTCAGAGACATTCCTTGGGATGAAATAGCACACAGGAACGGATTACCTTACGGCCAAACATCTGTGACAAATGCGTACATTTTATTTTATGAGAACAGTCTTGAGTAGATGTTAATTTGGGTATAGTCTGTTAATTCTGTAAGTAGTATAGTGCTGATTCTAAGGGGAAAATTTCATTTGACAAGCCACTAAAGCACTGGTAAAATAGTGTTTGCAATTCATATTTTAAATGCCTTTGTTTTCTTGAGTATAGGATAAAGTATTAAGCATAAAACTGCTTTAAATAAAAATCTGCTTTACTCATAAGTGCCTAAGAGTATTTGGGAAGAACCTGGAATATCCAGGAAACTAATCAAAAAATATTTTATTAGAACAATTATTTGTTTTAGTAATATATGGATCTGGTTGGATAATCACAAATAGGTGCTTTCCTGGGGAAAACTTCAAATGCTAGGGCCCATGCAACCAATACAGTCTAACTTAGCCATCAGCACTGACTCCTGAGAGATACAGAGGTTTTACAGCCTTAGCATGAGAGCATTGTACACTTCTTAGAGCAGGCAAATTGAAGCATGAAGAAAGTGTCTTCTGGGTTTTCCTTCAGAGTAAGTGTCTCATGTAAGAAAGTATTAACTTTTTTTGCTTCAAGTCATTCCATTTTGCCCTGATAGGTTCTAACGATTTAGCAGAAACTTTGGTTATAAGGAGCACTTCTGGGTTCTGATAGACAGTGAAACTGTTTGGGTTGATTCTGGGAGAAGACCAGCAGGTAACTGGAGATAAACAACAGGAGCAATAGGCAAGGTTAGAAGGTGAAGTGGGATAAGTTATAAAAATTTATTTCCCTACGAAATAATTGCACAAGCTGTGTAAACATTTCTTACTAAAACAAAATATGCTGACACACAAGGTTGTACATTTCCAGTGGAACACGCACAGTCCAAGATGCCCGTGTTTTCTCTTGTCAGGAGCTCCAGCACGGAGTCAGCAGATAAGTGCTTCCCTAGTTACCTTTGGCAGCAAGCTTCTTCACATTCCCTGGCTGCTCAATGGGTTTTAAAGTAACATGGAACATAATTAGATCCTAAGCCAGGTGGACGGGACTCGGCCGTCAGCCTCGAGTTTGCCTTCCACTTCTCCAGTCGCTCACGCACTCACACGCGTGCACATGGCGGGTTCCAGTGCAGTGACTATCACAGACACTAGCTGCTAAAAACGTGTTTGTCACAATCAGTGTGGACTGCATGGAGTAGAAAATCCTCTGGGGTTTGGTTATAATCACCATAATTTATGGTTAAAATTAAAAACTTAAATGGATGGGCTAACATTCAGAAATCAAACCTCAAGTCAAACAACCACACATATTTACAATATGTACAGGCTCTCTTCTAGAATGGGGAGAGGTGTCTAGACAGTGTTGTTAGAAATTTCCTGAATGTGGGCATTTCTAGTCCCTGTGATTCATAAAGCAAATCTGCTGACTTGGCATTAATACCCTAAAATATTGTGATCAAACTGATATATATATATATTATATATAATTATAATAAGGTGTTTGCAGAAATAACATTTACAAACTGTCTATACAGTACACAGTACTAGTACATAGAAAATAGATTCTAACTTTATAATCCCCTTTGTGTAAGGCAAGACTGAATCTGTCCCCAAATTTAGTCAGCCAGAGGTACAAGCAAGAAACAGTGGTCCATGAAAGAATGACGGGTCAGGTATCTGGGTATTAAAAATCTGGAGAAATTCCACTTGTTATCTGTGCTGCATCTGGCTCACTGGATACATTAACTGCATTTCTGAAGCCACTCTGTTAAGTGGCAGCGGCCCCAAACTGCTTTTGGAGAGTCCGGGATAAAGATGGAGGACTGTAGCTGTACTAGGCCAATTTATGTGGTACTTTCAAGAGAATGTATATTAATACTTGGTTGCATGCTATTGCTATTGAAGCAACAGCAATACAATATACAGGACAGGTCACAGATGGTTGCAATGTAGCCCCCAGAGATTTTGCTTAAGGATGATGTTATACAAAATTTGGGGGCAGGAACACACACGGTCATTGGCGGATGTAGACGTCCCTATTCCACTCGCCGGGCTCGTTCCTTCTCTTGGATATCACTTCCCCTTCCTTGTCACAGTAGCGATCCTTAGATTTATGCCGGCTCCGTTGCTTGTTGCACTCGTTGTGGTCCTGCTCTCGACCCGTGTCCCTAGAGCGGTGGCGAGACTCCCTGTGTCTGTGGCCATTGCTGCTGTGGGTCTCGTCTCTGTGGTTATGTTCGCGGTGTGGGGCATAGTGGTCCACGTGTTCATGTGAATAATCTTCCTTTGGCTCCACATAGGCAGAGTCTCGGCTCTCCTGGGTTTCAGAGTCAAATGTCTCTTGCCTAGAGAGGCCGCGACCTGTCCCACTGCGGTGGTTTTGGTGTGTGGCTGAGGAAGAAGAACGATGCTGGGATTTCTTGACTGGTTCCAGGCAAGGTTCTTCTTCAGCTTGGGAAGCAGACCTGGGAGCAGAGCGATCAGTCCTCTGATCACCTTGAGAACCCTGGAGAAGGGACACATGAGGGCATCAACTAAGGACAGAACCTATGGAACGTTAAAGTGTATAGAGAACAGCACCGTGTAAGTACATCCCTTTGAAGTACCCAGAATGCTGAAATGAAGCCTAGCCTACCTTAGGCACTTTTTTTGAAACACCTAGTGGCACTGCTTAAACTGGACTTGTGCTCATAGTTACATTTCATTTTAATGATGGGGAAAGAGTGTTCTTTTATAGTCTTTTGTGATTCTAGTACCAATACTATATACCACATAGCTTTAACTAATCTGCTTTGAGTAGATTAAAACTCATTAAGATGGGGCATTTAATGGGACATGTACTATTCTAGAACCCTCACAAAGGAGGGTGTCCTTAATTTGGCTGCTTACTTTCATTGCCTGCCTCAGCCCACCAAAAAGCTAAGATTATAAGCAAGTGGAATATGGAGCTAAATACGACTCCTTTGAGTCAATATTTAAGCCATCTGAGCTAGCTCCCTATTATGGTTTTGGAGCAGGGACAGCCAAGGAACTGGCTGAGGTTGTAAACACGATCTACCATCTTAGTGCCCATGCAGTCAGTGGGCTCCAGAGGCTAAGCTGTTTGCAATGTGTTCCGTTTACACAGCTCATACTTGACTTCTTTGTTCATGGGTGCACAACTCAGAGAGACTGGGTTAAATGGCACACATCTTAGTCTGATGAGCAAAGGGTAGTAGAGCAAGCCCTGAATTACCTCTCTGGGTTGAGTGCCAGGGGAATAGCTCAGTGAAGACCACCATAAAAGGAAGCCCTCTTACCTGTGAATTAGAGGCTAGGGTGGGGCTCATGGGTAAAGCTGAAGTGGCTAATGTTCGGCTAAGGAGAGGGTTGGGGAGGTTACTGCTGGGTGGGTGGGTGGCCTTCCAGTAGGCCTCCAGATAGTCGGCGAGATGTTCACAAGCGTCCTCAAGCTGGTTCTCATCCAAGATCACATCAAATGACTCCTGCTAAAGCAAGCATTTCAGATAGCACATTAATGCAACCCAGGACCAAGGTCCCTCCCCTCCCCAAACCTATAAGCAGAGGAGAGAGAGGCCTTGCCCGTTGTATTTGTTCTTGCCCTGTTTTTCCATTTTCCCTTAGCTGAGTCTTAGCTTATGCATGTGTCACTTCAAATCGCTAATTAAAACACTGAATGGCTAACTAATTGCCTGAAAGTGGACAGCTGTCAGGATGATTGGTAAGGGCAGTGCAGGGGAGTTATTATCAGTGGTGGAAAAAGCATACTGATACTATGGTAGGAACACATGGCAAATCCAAACAATTTAGAAAGGGGCTTGTTCTTTTTACAGACTGCAGGAAGTTCTGGAAGCTGATGAGGCAGGATTAGGTCATGTACTTTGGCAGAAGTAGCTCAAACTACTGACATTTTGACATGATCCAAACTGCACAGTTCGGTGGGAGGAGAGGTTCTTTGCTTTTGAATATTTAAAATCATTGATCTAGAGATTTAACATACTTTAAATCAATCAAATCCAGAATTACATCTTTTATAACTTTTGAAATAGTTGTACTTTAATGAACACTAGATGGGATCTGTTGTCCCAAAGTATAATATATAAAATTAGGAATGTATTTCTGGGAAACCTGGTGTTTAAAAGTTGGTTTGGGATGATGAGCTAGCTCACTGGGTAAAAGTGCTTGCTGTGCAACTGTGAGGGCCCAAATTTGAATCTCCAGACCCCATGCCCAAACAAGGTGCATAGCACTGAGCTTCTGTCATCCCAGCATTCCTACAGGAACACAGGCTACAGGCAAGAGAATCTTGGAAATCAGCCAGCCAGCTAGCCAGGCATACACATTGGACCACAACAAGAGAACTAATGTCCAGTAAGATAGAAAGTGGGGACCAACAGCTACAGTTGTCCTCTGACCTCCATGTATGCCGTGGTAAGGAAGCTCACATCTGTATTCTCCTATACAGAAGTCAACATTTAGTTTGACATGGTCCCAAGTCAATTTCTCAAACACTTGTTAAGAGGAGACAACTTATTCCCTGTGACTAGATGTGGATAAGAACCATCCAATAGGTCCATCTTACACACCACAGTATTAGGAAGTGAGGCCTGTAAAGGATGCAGGTGGCATTTTTGGAAGGGTGATCTGATCTGATCTGATCTGGCCTAAGGATGCCCAAAATGCATGGTCACACGGGCTGCGGCATACTTTACGCTTTTGGAATAAATACCATTGTAAGTGAGGAGGAGTATCTTCCCACAGGTACATAACTGCAGCTTTTTAAAATGTAGGTCTGATCTCTTCAGCTTTTGCACCATATAGATAACTTACCGGAGGACACTGGGCCAGTTTATCAGCGGCTACCATCTGGACATTGAGGTGTTTTGCTTGCGATTTCCCTCGAGATTTTATTAACCTTTGTAAAACCTGAAAATGGTAGGCATTTGTAACAGGAATATCTGTACTTGGGTAAGCTACAGGGTACACTACAGAGTATTTTATAAATACAGAATATACAATACATACATATATATAATATATATAATACATTAAATACATGGAAGACAGGCATCTATCATTAAGAAATAAAATACAACAGAGATTAACCACAAAATTAATGTCTTGCATAAGTCTCTTGCAAGCTTAAACACTAGTATGAGGCTGATGTGGACTCTTTTTTTCTAGCCTAACAATTCTCAAACTTTATGCCTCATGACCTATTTAAGTTTAAAAATATTGTGAACCCCAGAGGGCCATTGTTTGTAGGAAATATTTCTTGTATTTATCAGAAATCTTAGCACTGTTAATTCAGTCAGAAATAAATCTGGCACATGTTAATATAAACCACTTAATAAACCTTTAATTTGCTTTAGTGTACAGTTTCACTGATATTTGTAAAGAGACCACTATAGAAACACAGTTAAATAAAGGGGGAGGTGCCAGTTGTGCCTCTTCAGAGACTTGGTGGCATTCTGTGACTGTACTGAAGACTAGCAAGTTTATTCCCATAAAGTCCCATGGCCATAAAGACTCAGTAGCCACAGAGAACAGCTTAGTGTACCAGAGTAAGAACAGTCCTATGATCTGTACTGGAAGTTAACTGCCCCTTTACCATGCATGACATGTAAGGTCATTCGTGGATTCTGTATCTCTTGCATATTTACATACTTCATTGTTTAGTATTAGTGTTGATGGCAACAAGCGGTTCTTTTGGAGTGTTGGACTGATTTGCTTACGGAAAGACCTAAGTACATGAGTCCGAATGAGCATCCTGTCATTAGTCCTAGAACGAGAGTTGCACAGTGGCATTGGTGTTCCTCCTTGAGACAGTCTGCTCTGGACAGTAGCTGAACGTTTTAGTTCATTACACAGTGTTAAACAGTTTACCCCTACTGCACCAGGACATTCTTATGTGAAACTGGGAGGACATAAACATGTGTTTGCTACTACATGTATTCATGCTTGGACTATTAGCAGCTTTACCACCATGTATGTAGATGCCAAGTGTGTTGAAAGGAAGCAACATCTTAATTTTTTCACGGAAGCAGCTTCCACTTAGAAACTCTCTGAAATCCTTTCAGTGACCTAGGGCCCACACTTAAGACCACTGGTTTCAGCCATAACACTAACCATGCTTGTGCTGCTCTAAAACTTCTTGATTAGTATGGGTGTTCTCAAAAACCCTATGTTCATAATAAAGGCATAGCCTGTGACTACTGGAAATCAGAGCATAAATCACATTGCAGTAATGTCTGAATATAGAAAAACAATGGCAACCCCGCTTACCTTAGGAGAAGAAATCTTTACATACACTATAATAGGGGCCAAAGAGGTCTTACTGAGTTGAGCTGGGTGATTAATCGTATCTGCATCAAGGACTACCAATTGCAGTGTTCTTGCAAGTTCAAAAATCCTTTCAATTTCACTCTGAACTTCGGCTGCAAAAGGTTAAACAGAGGTAACTTATTTAAAAGGACATGTTTTAAAACTACAGTAAGCTGGAGTAAAATGGTACACTCTTTCTTTATCCAGAGAGTCAGCTGCTATTTTAATGATTATAGTCAATGTGATGATGAAAGGTGTCCTTTGGCAAGGGCTGCTTGCTCACACCTTTGATCCTCCAGGAATTATTCTTTCAGCCAGCATCAAATGTACCATCTTTCCTTGCGCATGTGCATGGACCATCCATTATGTAAATATGTACAACGTAAAAAGAGAGAGGAAGGGTACCCATTAGAAATTTAGCCCAAGCCATACTTCATAATTTCCACCAATGAGACATAACATCGTCTTAAGTATGATAACCCCTTCACTCCATACAGTGCTACCCGGATATATGTTTTCAGGGTTGACCATTTGATACTGGACAATGAACTGGTGTGCTCTGCCCTGGGGAGGACAGCCTCTCCTGTCCCTAGCTTTCCTCAGTTGCTTACATTTCTTTGGGTAGGGTTGAGACCTTGTAAACTTTTCTCCACTCAGTTTGTCATGTTCATTGTTTCCTCCTTGTTCAGCTCACATTTGGGCAGTCATGGTGGTGAGACTTTACAGGTATAGCTTTTGACATTACCCAGAATATATATGTGTATATATACATATATGCGTGCAATAAGAATTTGTAAAAACAGAGAGGGGGAAAGAGAGAGAGAGAGAGAGAGAGAGAGAGAGAGAGAGAGAGAGAGAGAACAAGAGAGAGAGAGAGAGCATGAATTTAAAAGAGAGTGGTGAGGGCTGTGTGAGGGTTTGGAGGGAGGAAAGGTAAGAGAAAATGTAATTAAATTAAAAGTCTCAAAAACTAAAGAAGTGGTCTAGTAACATTCATGTTTTGAAGGGCAGCTTCCCACTAGAAGCATTGCGTAAAATTGCATAAATGGCAATCCTTACACACTGCAAGGATCCCACTACGGCACCCCCCACTTGAACCTCTGTGATAATGGGGATGCTCCACACACTCTAGTGTGCCTTCTGCTGGCCATGGGGTGCTCAGCCTTAAAATGTAGCTGAACAAAACACCCTGAAGTTTTAAATTTTAATAATTCAGTATTGAACTGTAAAGCACAGCATGGAGCTTGTAGTTCTGACTGAAAGTGAAAGGTTAAGTCCACAAGACTTCTTCGGACCAGCCACCTGAGGCCTAGGAATGCCTCCACTTTCTTTGATTAATTTGTATTAGTGACAGAGCATTTCCAAAGATGATTTGAACTCACCTAGTAGGCAAGTCACTAACTGTTTGCATCAAGTTCTTGGATGCTTTGAGAAACCACAATTTAGTCACTTGAGATACTAACTTCAAAATAATGGTTGGTCATACAGCACCCCTAATGCATATAGTCTTGCTACAATAAATACTACATCTGCCATCTGATCTGGCTCATAAGTTTGCTAATTTATCAGAAATACAGGAAACAGAATTTGATAAATGATAACGTAATACAGTCAGAGAAATTCAGACTGCCAGAAACCTTCAGAATAAATAGCTCAGTTTTTCAAGAAAAAGTTTTTTTTAATGAAAAATGAGAGATTTGAGAGGCTGAATTACAATATATGGACTCTATCATATTAAGATAGTAGTTTATTTATTTGGTAAAATATGTCTACGATTTGTTTACCAATAATCTGTGGGTGGAAAGATGAATATTGTGTGTAAAACTATATTGACTGCAGATAGTTCTTTAGCTTTGTAACTCCTGATGCAAGTGTCCCCAGCATTAAACATTCTGCAGGTGCCCCAGCTGGAATGCCATTTCCTCCCAGGGGCCTTCCCTGTGTCTACTGATGCCCTCCTCAATTTCTTTTCTGCTGCCTGGGCTCATGAGCCACTGACCAACTCTGTGATCTTTTAGCTACATTTTGTGTTCTTTGCTTCTATTACCCTGACACCTTGAATACTTGAATACTTACTAGCAACAGTTCCTTAATGCCTTAAGAACAAGCTCTTTAGCAAGCTCCATGTTTTACTTTACCTCTTTATTATTGCCTTCTACCTCCCTTTTCTTTAAAGGATACACTTCAGCCAAAGTGACACATGTTGCCCAGAAGCCTCTTATAATTATTGCCACTGTCTCAGAACATCACCTCATCTCCTTCTTAACTTTTGTCCTTTTCTACATGCTTGCAAGCTTCAAGTCTCAGCTCAGGACACTGCCTGTGGAAGTTTTCCCCAGGGCCTATACCTGCTGCAGCCTTAGCTCTTCAGCACCGGGTTCAGCTCAGGAACACTGCGCTCACACCACACCCCCGGGTCTCTTATTTACCTTATTGCTGTCTGAGCTCCTGGGCACAGGGGCTGCATCAAGTCTTTCAGGCTTTAGCACGTTGTTTTGTACCTAATATGTGCTCAATAAGATCTATGGCTAGAAGAGGCATTTAAAAAACTACACCACCAGTAGTTGTAAAGGTTTTTGGCAGCCTAAACCAGTCTATCCTGCTGTTGATTTAATTGGTCTCTGTAAATAAATTGCTTGACTTCTTTTTTAATTGGTTAAATCTATGAAATGATAATTTTCTAACAATTTTCTTAAGTACTAGATAAAATAAGAGATTACTATGAGTAAAAATTATCTCATTTTTCTTCTCAAGAAAGAAAGAATAATTATAAGACGTCATATCACCGGTGGCCCAGGCTGCTCTTGAATGTTACTCTTACTGCCCCATCGTCTGAAGGTGCTGGGGTGAGAGGTGCTGCCACACCTACATCTCTAGTATGGTTCCAGACCTATGCCTCTAGAGTTACCTCGGAGGGCTTATTAGGAGACAAAAGGAAGTTTAGTCTATGTGTTATATCTGTGCATGCTCATAGAGGCCAGAAGAGGGTGTTGGATCCCTGTTCCCCAGCATATACTAGAAGCTGAATTCCAGTTCTCTGCAAGAACAGCAAGTGCCCTTAATTCATTGAGCTAGCCTTCCAGTCCCCAAAACAGAGTTTTATGAAGTATTACTAAAAGATAAAATGTTATTATTTATGTTTTTCTATTTATATAATTATAGTTCAGAGTAATTGGGCAACTTGTATACGTAAACCCTGCCTCCCAAAGGCTTTCCATATTTAGCCTAAGTTAAAAATTAAGTGAACCTAAACATGTCCCACAACTTTTAGAAATGTATAAAACCAAAAGCCTAACAATATTAGTTAAAAGTGTAGCAGTACTACACCAAGGACATGTTGTAGTAGCTGCTGGAAGGTCTGGATATTATCTTATCATTGTATGTTAATGAACAATTTCCAGTCACCTCTCTGTAAATACATCAACCTCCCCCTGCTGGTTTTACAAAGAAAAGTATTGATGCAACTCAGACAACAGATAAGAACTGACTTCTGTTATCCTGTTTCCTCTGTTTTCAGCCTCAGCGGGTAAAACATGGTTTTGAAAATGATTTCATTACTGCTGTAACTATTCCGTGAACATTTCTGAAACAAACCACAGTGCTGATGGCAGGTGGGATGTTTTGGCTTATGCTATCTTAATAATTTACACTCAAGTTATTAGGATGACAGACTAGCTGTTGATGCTGATTTTTCTATATAGTTCCTGGACATATTCTCTATTCAGATCTGCTCACTGTTACTATTAGATAAGACATATTTGAATAGCTTGAACTCATTGGTGTTGGCTGACTTACCTAAGCTTGACCTTGTGTTGGATCTTTCGATTATTGCATGCTTACTGGGGTTGTTTAATACTGAACGTTTGGCGAGGGAGATGTCAGCAGTGACTCTTGTGATGGATATCCTGTTGGAGAAACGAGAAAAGCCAAAGGTTCTTAATCTAGTAAAACAGAAGTCACGTCTAGCACGTAAAGGATGACTGATATATAACGATACACATGAGGGGCTAGGAAGATGGTTCAGCAGTTAAGAGCATCTGTTGTTCTTGCAGAGAATCCAGGTTTGGCTCCTCATACTGGCATGGTAGTTCATAACCTTCTGTAGCTCCAGTTCTAGTGGATCCAGTGTCTTCTGACCTCCATGGGCACCAGGTACACACATGATGTACATATATACATGAAGACAAAACACTCATACACATTCAATATCAAATACACATGTGTTAAGTATCAGCATTCACCTATATTCATGTGTGTGTATATTTTGAAACATACATGTTTCAAAACAGACTTAAAGGACAAGCAATCATTTATTATGCACCTGTTTTGCCTAGCATTTACTGATTGTTCACCAAGTCTGAGTAAGAGATTCACATTTGCTGATAGAAAATAAATAAAAAGAAATTACAAGCAGCCTTATCTAAAACCCTGTGTTACTATAAACAGAACCAAACATTACTCTTTAAATAAATTGAACTGAGGTTCCTAATTCTGTAGTCTTGGCGCCTTTGCAGTGCTGTGACGTGCATGAAGAATCTGGCGCCGAGGTTGGAGAGTGAGTGAGACCCAGAATGGTGGCTGCATGGCATGCAGAGCACGTGCAGTCCATCATGACAGCAGTAATAAAGTGCAAGGTTCCAGACGGGGCAGAACTAATGCAGTGGTAGTACATAGAAGCTGGAAATTGGAAGCAGCTGCACGTGGGAAAGTGCAGGAAAGTTCAGGGAATATTCAAATAGGAGAAAAAATGTGAGACAAAATAAAGGCTTGCAGTATCTCTGAAGAAGCTGCTGAGAGTAAAACTACAACCAAAGGCTTGGTTTAAAAGTCTGTCCCAAAGTCAGAACCTTCCAGAGCATCAAGTGCCTCATAAGAATTATTTATCTATTTGGTATAAAACCAGAGACTTGCTATAGATATAGGCAGTCTGAGGACCCCTGGTATTATAGGTAGAGAAGGGGAGCTGAGAACGTCAGATGCCAAGAGGGGAAAAATGATTCTGAATGTTAAATCCTCAACTTCCCCATCTTCGTCTTTTTGAATCCCAGCTTATGTTTGTTATTTTATATCTTTTAGGTATCAGAAAAGAGGCTGCTTCTCTGGACAAACAGCCAAATGACTAAACTATGTGTACATCAGACGTCTCCTCCATAAAATACTTGTCAAGAATGTCCTACAGGGAAACATGCAGTTGCCAAGCCCCACCTATGAGTGCAGACCTTCCTGCTCATGCCTGTTTGCCCCATTCTTAAAGATAAGAGCAACACTAGGCATCTTTGTAAATGTCTTTCACAAGAGGCTATAAAAGAAACAACCATCTGAAGGCTAAATTATGTTCATAGAACTGAAACATTATTTTTTAAAGCTCAGAATAAGAAGATTTCTGGAAATTTAAAAAATGACAGTATAAATAAAAAGTGAAAAGATGGCGTCTCTGAAAGAATAAAAGCAAAGAGACAAGAGGAGGAAAGTAAAGTTTGAAAGTTAAAGAGTTGCCCAGCAGTTCAAACCCCAAATAGTTATTAGCTAAAGAATTAATTCCAGATTCAGAGTCTGGATTTTTATACCAAAACCATCTAGCACTGATTAAAATCCATACCCGACATAAATCCCATTATACTAGGAACCAAAAAACTTCCAAAGGAAATCAGGGCTTTAAACTTCTCAAGAGCAACAGTGGGGCTAGAAGGTAACAAAGCAAAAGCCTTCAGAATCCCCTGCCCATGGCCACACACCATAGGGGCACACTTGCCATCCCAGCAGTGGGAAAGACGAAGCATGTGGGTGTCCAGTACAAGGGCAGCCCCAGCTGCACAGTGAGATCCTGTCTCAACAAGACCCTAGCCATTGCACCATCAGTTAGGGCAGCCCCAGCTACACTGTGAGATCCTGTCTCAACAACAACAAAACCCTAACCATCACACCATAAGCTAAATAGCTTGATTAAAGGCTTTTTTAGACACTTCAGAAAAATCATTTTAGGGATATGAATGAAGGGTGTGTTTGGCTGAAATGGAAGGGTGAAGGTTGAGAGATGACGAGGGATTGAGGATAGAGGACCACCAACCCAACAGCAATCGGAAGAAATCCCCAAGGGTGGTGTGCAGTATATCAGGAGGTTAGCACAAAATGCTGCCCTCTCAGGTGAGATGGTAAGGTGGAGTGGCACCCTTGGGGCTGCTCCAGGGTACGTTATATTGATAGGATTCCTTTTCTGCTGAGCACAGAGAACCCATCGCTACTCAAGTCATCATTCTAGAATGTATATTTCAGAATACCTGCTATAACCTCATGTGGGCCAGATGTGCTTATCTGGGCAACATAATAAGATGACCCGACAACCCCCCATCTCATAAAAAGTTATTTTATAGAATTTAAACTTTTATGGAGGAGCAAAGGTGGCAGAGAAGTGTGACAAGTGCCACTTAAAATTTAAGGGAGATGAGTGAGGATGGACATGGAACAGCATGGAGGGTATCATCTTAGTGTTCAGAAATTTGGAACGGTTCATTAATGTGGCATTGTAGACTGGAAGGAAGGAGTCAGGTAGATACTGAGGGAAGAGGATTACAGGCAGAAGGGAGAGCAAGTACCTAAGCATTAGTACCACTTGAGGCTGATGGCCAAAGGGAGGCAGCTGCCCTGGGATGGGGCCCATCATGGAGGTACAGCAGTACCACATCGACTCCCTGTGTGGTAGGCTTTCTAGGTGGCATAACTGGCATTTCTTTGGTTCTGCCCCCAAGTAGTTGAAAATCTAAGGGCAAAATTTCTGGGGATAATTAGGTTTAGAGTAGTGGTCCTCAACCCATGCATATACACCATGTAAGCATGTAATAATAGAGATTCTCATTTCTTATCCCCGCAATTTTTTTTAAGTCAAAACAGGATCTAAGGACAGAGGGAAAGAGTACTGGGAGAGATATCCTACTGGAATTGGTGGGGGAGGTGAAGAAATCTAGTGTGGTGGAAATCTAGTAATGGGAAATAAGAGCCCGGACCGGCCATCTTTTATAATCAGACAAGGCTTCTAGCAGTGGGACTGGGACATCAATCCAGCCACAGAACCTTTTACCTACAATCTGTTCTGCCTGCAAGGTGGCCTGGGGTGTAGAACTTGTGGGAGTGGTCAGCCAATGACTGGTCCAACTTGAGGCCCATGACGCAAGAGGGAGCCCATATTTGACACTACCTTGATGGCCAGGAACCGGAGGCTGACAGCCAAGAGACCCAGGATAGAACCAAACATGAATGGCAAAAAAGTCAATGAAATGATTCTTCCTGATATTCTGTTCTAGTCATAGTCTGGTGCCTAGGCCTGATTGTCATCAGAGGGGCATCATGCCATCCAGTGAACTCTGGGAGCAGATGCAGAGACCCACAGTCAAACACTAGGTGGAGCCAGAGGAACCCTGCAGAACAAGGGTAGGAAGGATTCCAGGAGCCAGTGGGGTCAAGTACACCATGCTAAACATGCCCTGCAGAATCAACTAAGCGGACCTCACAGGGGCTCATAGAGACTGAAGTGACAAGCGCAGAGTGACGCTGTATGGGTCTGATCAAGGTCCTCTGCATATACCTTATGGTTGTGTGACTTGGTGTTTCTGTGGAACTCCCAGCAGTAGGAGTGAGGGGTGTCTCTGACATTTTTGCCTGTTCTTGGGACTCTTCCTACTGGGTTGCCTCATCCAGTCTTGGTATGTATTGTGACTTCTTAGGCTATGTTTAGTAGAAGTCCCAGGGAGGCCTGCATCATCATCATCATCATCATCATCATCATTATTGTTGTTGTTGTTATTAACAGAGATGGAGGAAAAGTGGATCTGGGGGAGAGAGGAGGTGCAGGGAGGGACTGGGAGTAGTGGAGGGAGGGGAAACTGCAGTCAGGGTGCAGTCAGGATGTAATGTATGAGAGAAAAAATAAAACAAGGTACACTCTGTGTCATATAGGTTGGCATCCTCCTGAGTACTGGAACTCCAGGTATGTGTCACTAAGCCTGGTCTGTCCCCTACTCCCACCGAGTGTACGTCGGGTAATTCTGTTCTGCAGCTTGGTTATAAAACCATTAATTTTGAAGACATTGTCTCACGTATAAGTAAATCTCCTACACCAGAATATAAAGTGATGTAATGTTTCCCATTATTATTGATTTTCAATAAGACACCTTCACAGAACAATCTGACAACAGTGCCTAATATTCCTGTAGTGATTCAGTGCATAGTCCAAACATTTCAGGGCTGACAACTGACATTTTGAAAGTCACCAGGGAAGAAAGCCAAGTCTATCCAAGATGATAGCTTCCCTTCTTCTCCACTTCCTTGTTAGTGTACCTGTTATTATCCTAAAAGTAACAGTGATTGCTTTGCTTCCATGAAATACTAGTTGGGTCCAGCAACTGAAAGAAGAGGGTTGAGGCAGGTCTCCTTTGATGTGGCACAAACTGTTACGTGGCCCACAGTGATTCTGACTGCTCTCCAGAGCACCCACAAATGTTCTTGACTGTGAGAGCTTAATACCACAATTCTTGATAGCCTAGAACCTTTTGCCAACATTTCCCACCACACCCCTCCTTTGTGGCCCTAACACTTTAAAAATATAACTCATTCTGTGGATTCTAAAGAGTACTTCAGTTCTCTTTCAGACTGCCCTGTGTACACACCCCAGAGGCTCTGTCTCTGTTTCTGTCCTGCTTTGCCAACATTAAAGACATTTAATGAGACAGTTACCCTGGATATACTCCCACGAGTAAAGGTGAAAGTTTTATGTCTTTGGAAATGCTACCGTATGGGTTCTGATATCCCTTGGGAATCCTTAATGAACGGCCACAGGCCCAGACTGTTGAAGTGCAGTACAGGATGGGCAAGGTAAAATGCACATGGAAAATACGTTTGTCTAGAAACGATAGGTTGACCCTACCTTCTATTATTTCACTTATTTTCTTCCCAGATAAAATAAGTTGGGCTATGTGATTCCATAGAAAATAGGTCTGAGATCCAGATTCATAAACGCTCAGGGTTGAACAGAAGTAGTCCATTGGTGAGTAAATTGGTGATACCCATTGATTATTTGATTTGTCAGTCTTTCAGTAGTTACACATGATTTCTGTTGTCTCTGTGATTACAGGAAATAGTGTCCTTCAGCTCACTTTGATCTAAGTAGATATCTGTCATGTCAGTGTAGTGTGTTTGTGTCAGGGATACTGTAGTTCCTGTACCAGTGTCCATAAGCTAAACTTGGCCTGACCCCTACTAACCATCGCCACTCTCCGACTGATCCACTGACATATCACTCTCCAACAAACTGTGTCTCGTATTCACTTTCCCCACTTCCAGAAGACTTGTTCCATTCCCCCTCTCTGTAGGCCTTTACCCTCTATAAAGCTAAGGTCCCTTTCTTTTTTACTTTTTATTTTTAAGTTGAGGAGGGAAAGGATTGAGTCCCATATCTTGGCCAGGACTTTTGAGGTATGTCCTATGGCTATTAATGGCAGTTTCCTTTGTAGGTCCTCTAACTGGGTTGCTTTATTCATAATGCTGCCTCATGCCTTGGTACCTTCCATTCCTTTCCATCATCTGTTGGCCATGTCCTCCTCTGATTGGGTTGGTGAGCTTTTAGAAGAGTTAAACCCTTGCTGGATAGCAAAATTCTCAAATCTGTTGACTTCTCCTTTCTCTGTACTACCTGTCCATTGTCTACACACATTTTGGGATGTCCTTGAATTTATATTCTGTTTTGCTGTACATGTTTCAACTTAAAATTTCCATATGGCTCTTCAAGAGTCAGGGACAGTGGCTTCTACGTGTCTGCATTTCTCTAGCAGAGAAAACACAGCAAACAACACTTCCGCACTCAGCTGTCTTTTTCATGTTGAGTGCTTCTGCAGGCACCGAGAGTTCCGAGTTCGTCATCCAGTGAATACCCTCCCTCACATTCTTGTTGGAGAGGATAACAAAGAGTCATATGCATAAAAGAACACCAGGAAAGTGGAGAAGGGAGAGAGGCTGTGCTACCAGGAGAGATGTGAAGAAAAAGTTCCTACCAGAGGGAAGAGCAAGGAACAGACACTGATGTGGACATGGGCCTAGCTGGCTGGAGCACTCATCATGGTGAGGAAGTGGGTGTCAGGGAAAATCTAACTGGGGTGGATATGAAAGCAGGAAAGCAGCCACAGCATGAACAACCCAGTGAGTTCTCTATGAAGAAGGGGAAAATTAGTCAGCTGGGTGATAGGTGGGAAGGATGTTAGGCTAAGTGTGAAGAGAGATAACTATAGCTAATGGCGTCTCCCTTAGGACAGGAAATACTGATGAGAGGGATGGATGGTGAGATCATTGTCTGAGTTGTGAAGTGGGAAGGAAATGGGGAATGTGGTCTAGTGCCCAGGTGGTTGTGGGTTAAGTTAACCATTGCTAAGAAAACCCTAGGAAGGGGAAATGCAGAACATCGAGGCAGACATAAATGTAGTAGGGGTAACTCATGCCTTCTGTTGGCTTCTAACCCTCCTACCTCCAGAAAGAATCTAGCTATGAGACCTAGTCTGGCCATATTCCTCTGACTCAGGTCAGGTAGGTGCTAGAGTTACAGGCCTGTGTCAGTCCCGGCTTGCCCGTTTCCTCCCTGAAGCAAGGATGTAAGTTCACCGTGGGAAAGTGCAGTGAGAAAAGGTTAAAGGATGATGGGGAAGGAGGTGATGGTAAAGTCTTTTGGAAGGGAGGGAAAGTGAATAGAAGAGGGTGAGCTTGTGATATCTGGGCAGCAGCAAGGAACTAGGGCTTCGTGAACTGCAGGTGAGCAGAGGTGGAGCCACCGTCAGCTTACAGACACACATGCAGTGACTGGACTATCCTGGGATGAGGATGCGCAACGCAAACATGGGATCAGATTGCACTAAATGAAGCCTACTTCCTGTCCAGAAAACCAAAACAGTTTACCCTTGAAATCGACTACCTGCCCCACAGAGTTTGACCATCTTCAAAACAAAAATACACAAAACCAGCATTGTGCAACACTTACCGCCCTTCGAATCTGTGTTTTAAAAAATCGAACAGTGCTTTTTGCATCATATCTGTGACCTGTAATTGGATAATAAATTAAAATGTGAGGAAACCTGAGGATAAATAATTGTTACTGATTATGTGAACCAAGTTTACTTCTCTTCATTAACAGCTGAAAACCTTAGCATCACGTTTGGAAGAAGTGTGGTTGCCACGTTTCCTGTCTCCAAGCCCTAATGAAATGACAAGATTAAAATTTCTGATCTTAGGATGTTTCAGTGACAAAAGATTCCTTTGCCAGGGCTTGTAGACATTCTCCATTTGATATTGTTTCCTGGATGTGGTGCGTTAGAGCTAGCAGGAGTATCCATGGCAACCTTCAGGAAATCAGAACACTAAACAAAACACACCACAGTCTGAAAAACAACCTGCTTGGCTGCTGTGAGCCTCGCTCAAATTCAACTCCTACTCACCTCATAGCCCTTCAGAGAAGGGCCCACTAGGACTACTGGCCTCATGGAAGGTACCACGTCATAAGGTGGAATGTGCTCTGTCTGCAAAGAGATGAGGCAACTTTAGACTTCTCAAAGGCAGTGGGTCTGAGATTCTTAGTACATAAGGTACTATTCTCAACTCTAATATACAAGACACTGATTTTTCAGACATTTAAATATTTTCGTCATTGCATCTTTTCCAAGTAAATCAACTCCATGAAAGACTGGCAGCTTTCTTTTTCTAAGTTTTAAATTACTGCATAGTCTCTAATTTCCTTGCATGTAAGCTGCTTGGTAGAACAAACAGAAACATGCCCAATGTATACTAGGTACACCAGGCTCAACTAGCCAGTGAGCCATTGCTCTTCAGGAACACTTGGACTTCCGAAGACATCATGGTTAATTATGACAGATAAATCCCCGTCAGCTTTGCCTATGATATGTTGGTCTTACCTGTATAAATCCTAGTTTCCAAACATTGTGCCTCTCACTACCAAATGCTTGGAATTTCATTGAAATTATGAGGGAGCAGAAATTGGCAGGCATGCTGGTGCCAAAACAGTAATTATCATCACTGTTCACAGCTTTAGGGCTAGGGTTTTGGAATTTTTGACCTTTTTTTTTTTTTTTTTTTTTTTTTTGGTTTTTCGAGACAGGGTTTCTCTGCGGCTTTGGAGCCTGTCCTGGAACTAGCTCTGTAGACCAGGCTGGTCTATAACTCACAGAGATCCGCCTACCTCTGCCTCCCGAGTGCTGGGATTAAAAGCGTGCGCCGCCACCACCGCCCGGCGACCTCTTTTTTTTTTTTTGGCATTTATAAACATCTCAAGTCAAGATTTATGTGCATTGGAGGAAGGTGAACGATTTGTCATAATTTTATTTGACCATGCTTCAGCGGCTTCAAAATGTTTCTTACCACCTTGCATATATAATATGTTTCTGAAGCATGTATTAGTTAGTTTCTCTTCCATAACTGATTTATATATCTCTGTGGGTAATTTGTTTGTTTGTTTAGAAAAACAGGGTAGGAGCTAAATTTTACTGTCACTTCTAAAACTATTATTTTCAACTTTTTCAAATAAAAATTTTTTTTCAAATAAAAATTTGAAACATAGGTAACATAAATTTGCTTGATGAAATTTAAACAGGCTCTTGTAACAGGCAATTGTAAAGTGATACAGGAATAACCTCTCTTAATGCATGGGCACGAAGGAGATTGGGCTTTGGACAATGGATGAACAAATCATTTACACTTATTAATGACTTGTGAGCTCTGTAAGATGCATCATCCCTTGAGGAGCATCTGAAAAATATATTTTATTTTATTTTTTTATTATTTTGGTTTTTCGAGACAGGGTTTCTCTGTGGTTTTGGAGCCTGTCCTGGAACTAGCTCGTGTAGACCAGGCTGGTCTCGAACTCACAGAGATCCGCCTGCCTCTGCCTCCCGAGTGCTGGGATTAAAGGCGTGCGCCACCACTGCCCGGCTGAAAAATATATTTTAAACATGACATACATCAAAAGAACTTTAAGAACTTGATCAACTGGTGTGCATGTACGATTTGCACCATTCTGTCACTGAAAATTATTTGACTGTTGTTTCAAATTGCCCATCACAGACTTGTCTTCCTCTTTCTTTCGCTTATGTGGCTACTTAGACACACATCAAATTCAGCAGCGTCCATATGAGCTTTCACCAGTAGTTGGAGACCATATAATCAAATGGAAAAAGATATTACCGCCAATGGGCTGTTCACCTCTTATTGTTTAAAATTTTCCCTAGCAATCCAAACTTCCTTTTAATAAACATGATAAAGATAAATACATATTTGAATGAAAGTGTAAAAATTAGACAAACACAGCACACTGACAGCACAAAAGCCAGACAAGCAGTGCACTAAAAGCAACCTAAGACATGGAAGACGATTGGGGTGAATGCTCACACAGCCAGCTCTCGTCTGAGTCTACATTATCACAGAAGAAGGAACACAAGAGTAAACACCAGTGCCACAGGCATCAGAAGCATATTTATTAAGCAATTGTATTTCATAGCACTTGGGTTTGTACTGAAAGTGCCTGGAAGCCACATCCTTCTGCTACTGCGGTGAGAACACCATTTTCACCATTACCTATGGAGATAGACACTGCAAGCAGTGAAAGAGCAGCTATTAAGAAATCCGAGTGGCCCAGTGTTAGATAGGACTTTGGTTCCTTCCGTCTGTAACTGCCAGCCTAGCAAAGGGTTACCCATGCTGGCCATCAATCAGCTTCTCTACCATCAGGGGCAGCATTAGAAATTGCCTTATTTGATGGAATATTGATACTCTGTGCCATATTGCTAATGACAACATTTTTATCTGTCCTTTTTGATTAAGCCATTTTTTTTTGTTTTACTTCTTTAGTAGAAAAAATTAGAATAAATTTCTTTAATGTTTTGAAATTTGCAGGCAGGTAAAACTACAAAGTACTTTTTGACGAGCATGGTCATATCAATTTTGCCATGCGAAGTCCAGAATGACTGAGTAGCATTGACTGTCTAAGAAACACCTGCAATTACCTAGCTGCAAGCCACAGTTGTGATGACAAAGTAGGACCAGAGAGGTGGCCCACTCCTGTGGAAGATAATCAGGTTGGGGCTTTCTGTGTTAACACAGAAGTCCAGGTGTTTAAATTTTGCCTGGAGTTAACTTCTTAATGATTATTTAAAAAGAAAAAAAACCAAGCTTATGCTTTTGTGTATAACTTATTGTTAACATCTATAGAGCAAACAGTTGATTTTGTGTGTGGAGGTAAGACTTTTAATTTGATGAAAGTCTAGGGAAGAACAAATTTTTGCTTCATGTGTAAGCTAAAAAAATACCCCTGGCCGGGTGGTAGTGGCACACGCCTTTAATCCCAGCACTCGGGAGGCAGAGGCAGGCAGATCTCTGTGAGTTTGAGGCCAGCCTGGTCTACAAGAGCTAGTTCCAGGACAGGCTCCAAAGAAACACAGAGAAACCCTGTCTCAAAAAATAAAAAAAAACAAACCAAAAATACCCATGCTTGTGCCAGACTTGGTAACAATAGGGGCTATAAGTCTAAAAGCATAATGACTATGGAAGGTGTTATGTCAAAAGAGAAGAAAAAAATGGAAATAGGGAGGTCTTTTAAAAATAGTGCTAGAAGGCAACGAAACATGCCGAGAGGAAACTCGGATTAAACAGTCTTGGGAATTCCTTGGAGTTTTTAGTCAGGGCACAGCATCAGTACACCGTTTCAGTTGGCCAAGGGAAAAGGCTCTACATGTGGCCAGCAGCCATATTGTCTACTAGGTGAGATGCCGAAATCTGACTGATGGAGAAGGCAAAACTATTGGAGAGTGTTTATATATGACAATAGGAAAAACTCACAGTAAACCGCCAAAACAACCCTGCAGTTTTCCACTGGTCTTGTTCATCAGCAGATTTTGCACCTAATGGATTAGAAGTTTAAATACTGACTGCATTCAAAATTGAATAACCTCTTGTTATTTACAAGCAATGTATCTGGATATTATAAATCAGAATCCAATAACTGCTTTAATATGCTTTATTATAAATTATGTGTCTGGTAAAAAAAGACAGGCAATAAAAGCATATACAACTGAAGTGTGCTGTACAGCATGGCCAGTGTTGGACATCTTCGAGTGTTTAAACAAAATCCCTTGTGGCAGATATTATTCCATCAAAAAGGATAAGTACTGTGACGGCATTTCAACAGGCCATTCACTGAATGTTATTGGTGGAAGATATATGGATTTGGTTATCTATTGATAGGTTGTCTTAGGACTGGGAAGACTACTTAATGAAACTGAAGGACTTGATGCTAATGATGCCAGTGGCAGGAAAAACACAGGTATGTCAATGTCGACTTACCGATTTCTGCTTCTGCTTAGCTACAGCAGCATGGAAAAGAAACAAAGAATAACAGAGCATGCGTGTTATTGGCTTGTCAAAGGACACAGACAATCAACAGGACCGGAACTGTGACGCAGTGCAGTAGAGCAAGTGGACAACAGGAGCTGGGAAATCTGTGTTACCTTCTTAAAGAAGGGCATTCTTTTCTCTTTGGAGTGGGGTGACGTTACACTGTTTGCACTGGGCTTAGGGGAGCGGTGGTTTGCTGGAATATCATTCTCTTCTGCATCTAAGCCAGTAGCATCTATGTCTATAGCTATATACAGACAAACAATTCAAAAGTCATCAGGTGGATAGGAGAGGAAAAGCAGATTATAAATAAAATAAAATGAAAGCAAATAAACTAACCACTGTAGAAGATTTTGTCACGAGTGAGCAGCATATTACAGAGTAAAATATAAATGTAAGACATGTTGAGATGCAAGGCCATCAAGTCTAACTAGATAGAAAGATACCCTTGTAATAGCTCTTTCTCACACAAGTCAGTTTTGTGCTCGATCTCCTGAGTACTTTTGAAGAAATATCTTTTTACTGCCTCATCTCAAACTTTGCTATTCTCCATATTAGCTTATAAATGTAAGGTACAAAGCACTTGGTCTCAGTGCACTATCTTCGCTTATCTCTTAGATAAAAGACGAGTGCTCTGACACATTTAATACATTAGGCCTCAGTCTTCTCATTTTGTTGGATTTTAATGTTAGGAGAAAGGGGACCACATACAAAGTTTCATGAAAATCACAACAGACATTTTAGGACAAGAGAATATAAATCCCTTAATCCAGGCAATACCCAGAAAATCATAGGGAAGGCAAATGATTGCTAGAGTGATCTGGGATGGGCAGGACTAAAGTGGTTTCAAGGAAGTATGTGTGTGTGTGCCCTCCGAGATTCTGATTGAAGACCAGTGGGAAACACCAAATTAATGAAATCATCATATCAAAATCAGTTAGGATTTAGACAGTTTCAAGCTTCTAAGGAAGAATGCAAGAGCCCAAAGGCCCAAGAGAACAGGCCTCTTGTTTCCTCAGGAGTAAAGGTTCTAGGTTGGTTGCTTGACCTGTTGTCGCTTCTGAAACCCTTTTGCCTGAAAATACAGCTCTAAAACTAGTCAATGGAAAAAGGATGCATAGTTTCATTTTCAAGTTCCTGAAATCTTTCTACATCAAATTGCTGTAAAATTTTATCAACTACAGAATAGTAAGTTTCAAAGATCAATTCAAATAGTCTTGGTTTTTAAGACTTAAAAACTGAACCCACAGAATGTAAGTGGCCTCCTCTTGGCAGAAGTCCAGCAGTACCAGGTTGCAGACCCAACGCTCCTGCCTTAAGAGTTACACCCATTCCTGCACCACCTAGTAGGTGAGGTACCTTCTGAAGGCCTTCTTTTTATTCCTTTTATTTCCCCATTGGTCATGCCCTTGGGGTCATGGTTCTGAACTGTATCAGATTTGAGCCTGCTAGGTAATTACTTTATGGTTGAGAATAGGTCAAGCAGAAGAAAGGAAAATTTATTCACCCCAGTAAGCCTGGGGCAAAATATGTTAATAAATCCCATAATGTATTGATAGAAGGGACAAAAAATCAGAGTTATAGTTTGGTGCTTAGGTTCAGCTACCTTGCCCTGTGATATACAAGCTGAGCTGAGGCCTACAGAAGCCTCCCCTGGCCTTTTCAAAGGACGCAAGAGCATCTGATCTTGGCACACTATTTTGAAGTTTTGTAGTTACTGTGATCCGAGAGGCTTCAGACTTGGAATATTGGGGATTTCCTGTTTAGTTGCTTTTCGTTTGATTAGTTCAGAAGCCTTTACAGGGGCGAACACCTGACTTATCCGCACAATGTTGCAATATCAACTCTGTTATTTTATGAGTAGGGATTTTCTTTTTCTTCAGTCTTTGCATACTAATTAGTTAAAGGTTCAGACCTTGATCTGCAGAGGAATGTCATAGTCATGAAAACTTCAGGTGTTTGGGATCAACCTAGACTTTTACACCACACTATAGCATTCATTGCTCATGTTGGAAGGTTTCTGTGTGGTGCTACTTGAGAAGTGTTACCCTGAAGAGGATGGAAAGCAGGTCGTGAGTCCCAATACAGAAGCTTGCTATTAACAACTTCCAGATAGGAAAGCAAGGATCTAGGCTACTATCTCCTTCTTAATGGGTCTTAACCAACATCAAATCTGGTTCCTTTCTGGTGGTGTATTCCCATATACTTTATACTCACTACCTTCTACTGGACTTATGAAAACCACATTCAAGGACCAGTACCATCCAAGAACTTGATTGGAACTGAGGCTAGAAATCACGACAAATGCAAGAGCTCACAGCCCTTCATTATGGTGACATTTCTGAGTTGGATTTTAGGGTCTCTCCACAAAATCTCATCTGCTATGGTCATCCGATGGATTTGTTTAAAAGGAAATTAAAAGAATTAAAACTGGAAAATCATAAAGAATGGGAATGCATACAGGTCTAGCCTTGGCAAGGATGACATATTCAGCCACCCACGCAAAGCCTGAGCTCCAGATGGAAACTCACCTGCACCTCAACACCAAGGGCCCCAAATCCCTTTCCAGCTTAGTACTTGATGACCTTTTGCTTTAACTTAGGTCTAGAAGTGTCTGGATTCATTCTGAAAGATTTCTAAAATATCATATTCAAAACACATTAAGAAAGACACTTTTCAACTTTCCTGTTTTCTATACATGCCATTGAGCTCAGGGGATTCTTCTCCTGAGAGATGCCACCCACTTTTAATTACATACCTGTATTCCCACACCTTAGCATACATTAGCATTACATGGGAGCAGTGCTTCCACATTTTATAAATACCTATTATTCCTCACTATTGTTTACTTTCTTGTCCCATCTCTTTTGATTTAGAGAAACTCAGAAACATATTTTAGCTTACTCTTAGAGCTTGGGTCAAAGTGAAGCCAAGTTTGGGGATGAAGTCTATGCCCAGGTGTAGTGTGAGTTACGTGTTGTGCAACTGGAGATTACCCCATTTCATGGGAATTGCAAATTCCTCCTTGGTCTAGCAGTGAGTTGGAAATTATAGTTAGGAACTCTGGTAAGCAAAACAAATGTAAGTTACACTTGGAGGCCAGTCTACATTTGCTCTGAAATGGTTAGTTGTGCTTGGAAGTGGACTTGGAAATTTTCTCTAGGATTTTCTGAAGATTCCCTTTAGATCCACCGAGCTATTGATATGAAACTCATCACAGAGCCTAAGCTCTAAATATTCTGATAGTACATCTTACATTTGGTTTTATTTCCAGCTCAATTTCAATGTTGGCTTTTAGTAATGATAACACGTGACTCCAAAATTAAATATTATTTTACGTTCAGGCTGAATTACTTATTCTTCAATACATAGGTGCTTTCCAGCATTGCATTAACACAAATCGAGGTTGTGTTATTAGAGAACATGGAAGAACTCTGTCTCCAGCAGGGCTTTAGCTGATGTAACTTGCTTCCATGTTAGAGTCCCTACGAGTCTTCAGAGACAGCCTTTTAGATAGTTAGGGTGTCTGTAATGGCTAGAGAGGAATCCCTGTAACCTCACATCTGAACAAGGTCAGGAGTGGAGGCCTTCAGGGATTCCCGACTCCTCCTCCACCGTGGTAGACATGCCCTGTATTAATACTGTACGACCTTCAGTGTCTACTCTGAGTAGACTAGCTTAATTTTCAGTGCCTTTAAATTGCTGTGAGTTTTTCCAGCCAGTATAGATCCTAAACTGACAGTTCTTTTTGTGCTCAGAGTTTGCTCCCTTAAACATTTTGCTAAATGTTTACTTGATAAAAGATTTCAACTTTCAGGAAGTATTTATAGAAGAACTTCAGCTTTGCAATGACAAATTTATCAAGCAAACTACAATAAAATAAACTGAAGTTTAAATTCTAGCTCACATAAAACTTTTCTTCCCTTGTCAACATGTCATAGTAGGACTAAGGTATGCAATTAGATTACAGCTGTCACTTCTGTAATAACTTAGAGCAACACAGGCTATTTCCTTGCTTGATTTTCAATACCAAGAAAAAAAAAAACCCTACCCATTCTGTCCCTAATTTCACGGGGGCCTTTTTCTTCCTGATACATTCGCACATTTGAAGGTTTGAAATTCACATAACTAATGAAGTCTGGGGAAGCACTAAAGGCATAGGCCGTGGTCAGCACTGATCCCCTACTTACCAGATGATGGTGGTGTCGATTTCCTGGAACTAGGTACTATGTCACCCAGACTGGAAGAAGAATTTCCTCCTGATTTACTGAAGTAAAGCAAAAACTCAGATTAAACTTAACAATTGTTTTATATGCTAAAACATTGTATTGCTCAATAAACGTTCTAATTTATCGAGTTTTTAATTGAACCAAAAATGTGTATTTCTAACAAGGAAACAAACAGTCATTTCCCAATGGAGATTCTTGGAGTCCTTGAAACAGTTTTATGATGTCTCTGTTTTTGAAGTTCAGGGCTTAATAGGGTTTTTTTCTTTTTAAAGATTTATTTATTATGTATACAATGTTCTGTCTTCATGTATTCCTGCATGCTGGAAGAGGACACCAGATCTCATTACAGATGGTTGTGAGCCACTATGTGGTTGCTAGAAATTTAACTCAGGATCTTTTGAAGAGCAGTCACTGCTCTTAACCTCTGAGTCATCTCTCCAGCCCCCAGAGTTTAATTTTTTAAAGTCCCTGGGAGAAGAGTTGGATAATTCCTACAGTCCTCTAGTTCCATGCCCAGATGACAGATGGGTAGACAGAAGAGATTTCCTTTGCCTTTGCCTTTAGAGGGCTTGTAGGTAAGGTGTAAGACCTCAAGGCTAACACCAGTTCCTTTGGCTTAGATTGATTGTTTTTAGTATCTTAAGATTAATTATACCTTGCATGGTAATCTGTAAATGAAAATCATAGCGATACCCCAATTTATCAATCTTTAAGACAAAAGAAGAAACTTAAATACAGATTGTAATATGAATTAACTAGAAATTGATAGTGAACATTTTCAGAACAAGACTAGCAAGAAGGATTCAACTTTGTTGCATCGTGAAGCTTTTACTCAACACGTATGAACTGGGTAAAGGGGTATCTACTAAAACATACTTGTAAGAAAATGTCATAATGACATCTGATATTTTGTGTGATTTTAAAAGTAAAGAATATGAATTACAAGATTCTGTAAATTAAAATGAAAGAATTTACAAGATTCTGATGCGATGGAGCATATGCTTACGTCTTAGAAACTTTGGAGTTGGTAGTATAATGTACGGTTCACCAGTACATATCAATGTGTGTCAACTCTTAACACATGAAGGTCCCAGAACTGTGCCGGCAGAACAAAAATGCCATGGAATTAGGCAAGATAACTGCAGTGCCCAGTTCTTCTTAACATGGATGGAGCACCCGGGTCCTGCTAGAAAGAACTGTGGACCACGGCTGTGCCTCAAGGGCCACGGCTGACAAAACTAAATACTGGCATGCAGGAAAAACATCTGCCCTCACTGATTGGTTGAATGTTTTTCTAGTCTTCTAGCATTTTAATATACAAAGCCAATCCCAAGCATTTTACTCTATGTTGCTAAGAGTTTAAATACTTCTGCAGATCCAATAAGGACACGCAGGAGTGTATACAGTTCATAAAAAGTAGAACTTGCAGCAGCATCATTTTTGGCAGTTCCACAAGGATGCTGATGGTTAAGACCAAGCACTTCCTTGCTGTGACTTTTACCTTTGGTTTTATTTCCCCCAATCCTAAGTCCCACCTTAGTTCAAGCATGAGTTGGCTCTACTTTTAGACAGATGCTGCTAACCCCTAAACGGTTCAGAGGCAGATGGGTCCTTGAATGCCATCTACAGGCCAAAGTCTTGAACCGTGTGCCATTATCACCGCCTTTGATGTCTGTTCGCCTTTTAAAACTTTTTCGTTATTATTTGTAAGTGTTTTGTGTACACATATGTAAATATACCATCTGTATACAATGTCCGTGGAGGCCAGAAGAGGACATCTGATCCCCTGGAACTGGAGATACAGATGGTTGTTACACTCCATGTGGGTAACAGTTATGTGGGTACTCTGGAAGAGCAACCTTTACTCTTAACTACAGAGCCAGCTCTCCAGCCCTGATTTTTGTCAGACTTTGAAATCTTTGTATATCCATACATATATGCATATATATGTGCATATATAATACAGATAAGTATATGTGTACATATATATACAAATTTCAATCTTCTGAAATATGTATCATATACAATATATTATATGTTATTATAATATATTATATCATATATTATTATATATCATATATATAAACACTGACTCTGAGGCTGAGCCTGGCATGGTGGTGCACTCCTTCAATCCCAGCACTTGGTAGGCAGAGGCAAGTGTACCTCTGTGAGTTCGAGGACAGTCTGGTCTACAGAGCAAGTTCCAGGATAGCCACAGCTACACAGAAAAACCCTGTCTTTAAAAAACAAAACTACAACAACAAAACCCACTGACTCTGATTATATCCTCACAAAATATCTAAAGTGTTAAGAGGCAAATGTAAACACTTTCAGAGGTAAGTAGAAGTACTTACTCATAACTAGAAAAAGGTTGTTAAAGAGATACAGTAAAATCAAACAGCAGAGTCTGAGTACAGTTATAAGAAAAACTGACCAGTTCGGTAGAATAAGTTGAGAGATACTGGGAGGGTAACAATGATCAAATGTTGGTCTTAATTAGGTTGGGTATATTCTATTTCACTTCTCTGTTGACAGTAGGTGAAAAACACTGATAACATTAAAGTATAATCACTAACAACATAGGTTATGACATCATTGGATAAATAAGCCAGATGTAAAGGAGTGAAAACAGAAACTCAGTTATCTACATGAAGGTAAAGACGTCTTTATCCCCCTCCATCCGTCCATGTGAGAAGAAGCATGCCATGTTCTCCAGCTTGGCTATACAGGCTTCAATATGAAATTCACCACAGGGATGAGAAGCCTGCCTAAGGAGTATCTTGGTGAAGGGAAGGGAAGCTTAAGCCTCCCAGGAAGCTGCAGTCAGAGTAATAGGCCTGGCCTATTATATAACTCAGCTAACCGCTATTCGCAAAGGCAATTTTAATGTGCTTTATGCATAGTGTCTTTTTACACGCTCAACATCTGGGAGAACTGAAAATTGAATCTGACGGGTGAAAATGAACCTAACAGACCACAGAAGCTGCTCCTGGCCAGTGATGTCCGAGACTGATCTCTCTAAAGAACTCCCAGCCACCCAGAACAGCTACAGACAGACACTAGGATTTCACTGTGGCTGCTATGTGCCTGAGTATGTTCAGCAAATGATTAGGACTTCAGGGTCTCCTCCATGCTGAAGGCAAACCTTAATGCTTTGTGACCTTAGCTGCTTTTATTAATGATCATAATCTGATTCTCTCTCAAGTGGGCTAGAAATCAGAAGCAGGGATGGAGTGTTTTTAAAGGGCTGTCCATGAACTGCATCGACATCTGCTTAACACATAATAAGAATCACAGCTCTTAGCAAGTAACAGGGCAGAAGAGAGGGCATTGTCTGCATTTATACATAAACAGCTGGTGTTTTCCTCATACCTGGAGTAGAATTTCCCTTGCTTGGCTCTCTGTTCATGCTGTAGCCTCATGTTTTCTAGTTTGACCGGGCTTGGAATAAATCCGATTTCACAGCCTTCTTTGACCAATCGTCCTATCCACCAGTCATTATTAAATTTCTACACACAAAATCAAAAGTATTAGAATGAATTAGTGCACGGAAAGATCTGAATTGATTTCTTCTATAACTTTTTTCAGCAGAGAGAAACATGGCAGTTAGAAGCATGCATCGAATACGAAAATTCAAGAAGCCCTTGGCTTAATGGGCTCAGCTCAGAAGGGTGCGCTCAGCCAGCAGTTCAATGAAGGCTTTGCGTTCCCTTGTGTTCCCCTTCCCAGTGCTGCCTTTAGGACCAGGCTGAGTCTGTGCTAAGCTTCCAAGGTTATTGTCCATACCTAGCAAAAGACAGGAGCTCAGAAGCCTTAAGGAGCCCTTTCCCTAATAAAATGGAACTAACTGAAAGTATTAATATTGAGAGAGATATTAAGTGTACCTGAAATATTTTGTAGCAGCGAAATGTACTTCTGTGCAGTTTTATAACCATACAGTACTGTGTTCACACATGTTTTTCTCATGTTGTGCTGACAGTTTATCTCTTGCAGGTAAAGTATTTATCTTGAATCTTCACAATCTAATTTTATTTTCCTCAATTAAATCTATTCTCAAACATCTCAAAAGTCTTTTTTTTCCCTTTTTCTCTCCATAATAAAAAATGGTTCTGCTCAAAGTATTGGCATCATAAAGTCCCTGTGTTAGTCAACTTCCTGTTGTAGAGTGGTTGGCCATCCTTTCTGAACGTGTGTATCTACATGTTTTGACACTGTGAGCTCTCTTAGTGGGCACTCAGCATCTCCTTCCCTCGCGCCCCCTAGTTCACTTGTCAGTTAATTTTCATAAGCTCCCTGTGAATTCCTCCAACTGTAAATTAAAAAATCAAAATAAAAAGCTCGTGTGCCCCCAGACTGTCATCTAGGAAGAATTACTGTCACCGTGGTATCCCACAGAATAACTGTGTGACATGTGAACAGCTAATAAACTTAATTAAAGGTGAATTTTTCCAATGTTCGGACTGTCATTGTCAGCTTAGGGGAAGAGGAAATTCCTTGGCATCATCTTCTTGTCTCATTTGTTCTGACTCCCGCCATTCCCTTTCCCCTGCAGAAAGCCACAAAACCTTCTCCCAGGAGGCAGGCATGGTGACTCATAATGATAGTTCTAGCTCTCAGGTGGATGAGGTGAAGCAGTGATAGAAGGAAGATTACAGCAAGTTTGAGGTCAGCCTGTATATATTGAGTTTCAGAGCCTGGGCCTCATAGAAAGTCCTGGGCCACAGAGTGAAATCTTGTCTCAGAAAAAAAACAGAACAATAAATCCTCTTCCTTAGCGTAGCTCCAAGTTCACACATCAGGGAAAATCACGCATAGTTAATCAAGGTTAATCATTTCAAGATAAAGTGCAGGTCACACATAAAAATGGATTATCTAACAAAACAGTTCCTAATTTCTAGGGCACAAAGCCCAGAGGGACCCTGGCTCTTACCAGGAGCCTCTGCCTCCTTCCTCCTTAAGTTTATTTATACCAGAAAAGGCCGTGAGCCGCTAATTTAGCGGTATTTTAGACAGCCGCAGCTAGACCGGATGCTTTCTCACAGCAGTAGGAAGGCAGTGAGAGTCGAAGGTGAGAAGATCACCTTCACACTGAAAGAAGCTGAACGTTTTCCTTACTTCCTTAACATGCAGAAAATCCTTTGCCTCGAAGGAGATGGCCATGCCTGGCACCGGGACGTCATCCTCCTGGGCCGCGCTGTACCTGACGTTGGTCCGAACTGCAAATGCAACAGGTTTTGTCTAAAGAGGGATGGGAGGAAAAACAGAAAGAAAAGGAATAAAGGTGGCCTTCCCTTCTCCCACTCAACTCCAAAGACACAGTCAAGAGCTGTTGGACGCCTGTCCTCCCCACCGGGTCCTCATCACAAAGCAACTCGTTAGGGTTCTCAGTGAATGTGATGGCCCTCAGCCACACCCACCCACATCTGAACTAGGAAACAAGAAGCTGTTGTTCTCTGTGCAAGCACTGAAGTAATAAAAGTGAAGACAGATGAGCGAAACACTGCAGCAGAAGCAACCGGAAACCAGGACACACGCACAATAGCACAATGCCTAATTTGGTTTGGGTGGGGAAAAAAAAAAAACACAAAACAAAACCTAGAAACTGCCTCCCTACCCTGAGCATTCCCTTCAATTAATCGTTAATGATTGATTCCCAATGGTATAATATTTGGAATGGAAAAATAACTAGAGAATATATGCTCCAGTCTTAGCAACCATTATTCATGGCTGCAGGGAACTGTGAAAGCAATGACCTTTTCATCCTAGCATTTTTTTCCTCCTTGAGTTCACTAGTTAATTTGCCATCCTTCACTGTTTGGTGCTTCTGAAAATGCATAGGTAAATATCTGTTCTCACTGGCAATATGTGCATATTCAGGAGATGGATAAACGGAGGAGGCCGATATTTGTGGCCTGCATATTCTGAGGCCAGTGGCTATTCAGCCTTCCCATGTTTCCTCTGTTCTGAGGGCAAGATCAAACAGAATCTGACACACCTTGGCCTTGTAGAAGGCAAGAGCGTGGTTATAGACTAGTTATAGACAAAAATCTGGGACACAGTGGGACCCAAGAGATGATTTAGACCTTGGGGGCAGCAAAGCTAGGTCAGCCTTCTAGACCAACAGTCAGGATGAGCTCTGAGACGGAGCTCAGACTGCTTTGCTCCCAGCTTCAGACTCATGGGCCTTCCAAGTTTACCAGAAAAGCTCCATCAGGGCTTAAGGTAAGGTGACAGGGAAAACAGACTGCATAGACACAGGGCTACCCCACTGCATAGACACAGGGCTAGCCCACAGTCCTGTACCAACATCAATAGAGGGAACTCCGGGGCTTGTTGTAGAATTAATTATATTTACATCCATGCTTATTCAGGGTCATTATCAGGATACCTGTGAATCAATGTGGTCATTCCAGTGCCACTGAACTCTGTTAAGGCTCCAAGGACAACATCCTCAGACCACTCCCAGGGCTCCAGTGTGCTAGTCCTGCATCCCTTTCTAACTTGCTCTTTAGCTGTAAGGCACAGGCGCCCGAGGTAACCGTGGATCATTCAGCCCAGTTCTGCTTCTTGCAACCCTGTACCAAGGTGCCATGTGGGCACATGCTACATTGCTTAAGGTTGACTAGTAACTTGTCTGTGCTCTGTTGCCTGGACACACAGAATTAAAGGCTGACTATAGATTACCTCGTGAAGTAAACGTAAACAGGTTGCCGAGGCAATAAATACTACTTCACAAGAGAGGGGCACCTTCCCCTCCAGGTAATGAAGTGGAGGGGCTTTAAGAGCAGAAAAGCCATGCCTTAGTTACCCTGTCTTCAGCCTGTTTCCAGTGCTTAAGGAAATGAGAAACAACCCATGATTCATATGTTAAAATCTCCCATTCTTTCCTTCTCAGTGGCTCTCCACCTTGTATCTGACCTAGTTTACAGTAAAGTATAAAAGGGAGACCGGGGATGTGGCACCTGGCAGGCAGTGGGCGGAGTGCTGTGCACAGAGCACTAAGTCAGTCACCAAGGGCTGTTTATTCTAGATGGGGAAATCAGCTCCAGAAGCTTTCCCAGAAGTCTGCCGTGTGGCACGCATGGGAAACCCCAGCACTTGGAAGGCTTAGGCAAGGTGAGAGCACATTCAAAGTCAGCCTGGACTAAAGAGCAAGACCCATTTCATAGAAACAGAACACACCACAACCCAAACTGCCCCAGGTTGTGAGCAACGGAGTGGTCACTCAAACCCGACCTTGTCCCCCCAAAGTGTAAGTTCTTTTAGTAAATTTAGCTGCATGGCAGTTCCAGGCTAGTTGCATGTTTGTATGGAATTTTGAAGACCTGGAAACACTATTTTACATAGTGTTAAAAAGTTAACTGGTACCCCTCCAAAAAAAGAAAAAAAAGGCAGGAGTAACTGATTCTCATAGTAGCCGATTAGGCTCCCAAGGTAACACTGCTGCCGTTCATGAGGAACATCACACACTTTCTGATTGTTTTGCTTGAACCAACTCGAGGCCAAGTAGTATGTCAGTAGCAATGGTAAATAATGATTTTCATTTATCTGAATATCTTTCTTTTTTACCTCTTTTTTCTCAAGATATAAAGCAGTATTTCATGCAATAAGAACTGAAATATTAAAATACTGTGGCTTCATAGCTTCTAAAAAGTACCACAGTTACTTAGGGAGACTGTGAGGAAGGACATAGCTACCTCCACTCTGGAAAAACAAATGAGCAGAAAGCAATGAAAAATTCCTCGGGATGAAGTATCAACTAGAAAGGGTTAACTCTAAGGGTTTTTAATAGCCTGAAAGTTATTTTGGGAACATGATAGCTTTACTTTGCAAGTTTATTTTTTCTCAAGACTGTTTTTCTGTATACCTTTGCTGTGGCAGCCCCTACACGCCTTAACCCAGCGCCCTCCACAGAGTCCCACAGTCCTCTGCGGTTCATCTGTATGCCTCAATTCTGATTCCTTACACAGTTTTCATCAGTTTGTGGCTTTCATCATGAACGTCCCCTAGAGATGAATACACTTCATTCTAAGGTGAGCAATGCAGTTACTGGACTCGCTGTTCAAGATCCAAGCCACCTGGTGTCCCACCATCCTCCAGTCCTTCACTCTAACATTAGCCTACTTGGCCTAGAGACCCAAAAGGGTTCGAAAAATATCTCCTAACACAGCTCCAACTGTCTGCCTTTAGATGTTCCTGCTCACTCCATCTCTCTACCCCTCACCCTAGGCATACAGTCTGTGGAGAGTCAGCCACTGACAGATGCGTACACAGAAAGCTAGCATGGCAGGCCTAAAGGATGGTCTTGGATAGCTCTGGCCACAAGACTTTTTTATTTTATTTTATTTTTATTTTTTGGTCTCTAACGGATGCTCCACCGGTTCTACAAAAGTTTTGCGGAAGCCTGTCAGAGATGAGCTTGAGGCTTCTAGTAGGAGCAGCTCGCATGTGCTCACAGCCTCCTGCAGTCACCAGCTTCACTGTCAGAGAGCAATTATCATAACAATTATCCTAAGTAGAAGATAATTATGTTTGAACACCTCTGATCATGGAGTAGGATGAAGAGACCATTGTAAACCCATGATACTAGCTCCAGTTTTCTTCCCATTAGATGACTTAATGAGGTCATATTGAAACTGATAGTTTAAATAAGTACAATATAATGTTTGTTTGAATTTTACTAAAGCATGCCGGTTGCACAATGCTGCTCAAAGGCCAAACGGAATTCCCTGAAGATTAAAACCTCACAATCATGATTAGTACAATTATGTAGATTTTTATGTATGGACTTCTTTATTTAGTCTTACAGAGATGTATTACATTATGTTAAATAGCAAAGCATACATTTTCATTAGGAGCAGCAAATAGCAAAAGATGAAATGTATAGTTTCTCTTTTAATGGTATAATGGGTTTGTCTTAAATATGAACTACTCCCAATTTGCTACCTTTTAATAAATTTCACTAGAACTATAACCCAATTCCCACTAAATAGGATGGTCAGCAAGAGGAGTTTAGGGGCTGGAGAGCCATGGTTTAGTGGTTAAGAGCACCAGTTCTTGCAGATTAACTGGGGTTTGGTGCCCAGGCCCATATGATGGCTCACAACCATCTGGAACCGAGGTCCCAGAGGATCCAATGCCTTCTTCTGGCCACTATTGACACCAGGCACACACGCGGTATAATCCAAACACATAAAATAAACAAATAAATTTTTTCAGAAATTTCAAGTTGCTGACCTGACCTGCAGGTGAAAGGAAAAGTATTGGAATGTCACAGTTTGGTATTTCTCTTTTAGTAGATGCCAATAAAAATAAGGCGAAATGTAAAAATGAAGAAAGAATAGCTGGTACATATCCCTGCTTAGGTGGGGGCACAGGCTTCGACAGAAACAATGAATTCCATGCTGGACAAAGGCAAGAAGGTGGAGAATGGACGTACAAACACTGTGCTTCAGTGACAGAATGTTATCTCAGTGACTCACTTTCTCCATGGAATAGGAAGGTGGGGTTCAGGCAGGGGAAAAGACAGGTAGGGGTTAAAAAAGAGACAGATGGCCTAATCCTTGGCTCATCTAAGAATGTGTTAGGTGAGTGAACAATTGTGATGGGCTTTGGAGCAAGCTCCTGTAAAGTCCAGGTAATTGATTTCTAAGCTCTTTGTAAGCTAGTTCTGCCATGCTAGAATATAAGGAAAATCGTAACATAGGAATTGAGTTAAAAGTCTGACACCTTAACAAGATATAATGGCTTTAAAACTGCCTTCACCATTGTTACACAACAGTTTTATTTATACATATATATACACATATGTATATTTATACATATATGTGTGTATATGCACACATAGCATAGGTATATATACACATGGTGCATGTCACACATATGCTACATACCTATGTATATAACATATATTAATATGTATATACACACCATGTTTACTTGCCTATGGATCTCAGAAATGAGTTACTAACAAGGCATGTGATTTGAATTCCTATTTTGATTGAATGTTTCATGTATTTCCCATAGTACTAGCCATACTTTAGTTACTGCTGCAGAAATCAGGTGGATTTCTTTCTTTTAGAGGAATCAAACATTCAGCAGATACTCTACATCTCTACATAGGACTGCATAGGAAATGGTTACATCACTACAGACACCAGGTTAGAGTCTCATCAGGATTAAGTTTTAGTTGCATATCTGTAAATGCAAGTGTATCTGTGTTTACATATTAGAATTAG